AATTATTAGAACAATTAATGGCGGAAAATTTATATATATGTATCAAAGAACCCAAGTTATGTTATATCTAGAATATATCATAAATAATATTAAAGAAATATTCAGATTAAAACAACTATCGGAAGAATATTACAATAAATATTACTACATATTACCATGAATTTAACACTACCAAAAAGTAATATTAAAGAGATATCAAGATTAAGACACTTAGCAAAAAGATATTATAATAAAATCTTTAAAATAAGTTACTCACCTACCACACTACCACCTACCACACTACTACTCCTATGACTTCCCCAACTATCAGTTCCGCACCGAAAAATGGTATCAAATAAAAGATGTGAAATAAAATAAAAGAGAAGAAAAGAAGAAACCCTAAATCAAAAGTTATTTTCACATTGTATCCTCCTCTCTCTAATAATTATTCTTATAGACTATTTATAAATGTAGGAATCCTTGAATAAAATAATTGAGTCCAAAATAAATTAGGATTTGAAAACCAAAAGGAATTGGATTCCTTTCTTTTTCGCGTGAACTGCCGTATCCGCCTCAATGTTACCCTTCAAATATCAACTTCACACTGGCAGCATGTAAGGCTGTTGCTTGATTTCAATTATTGAGCCCACCTTCGTTATAATAAAATATTCTTTTTAATCTATTAAGCTGTTTGATTTCTTTTTTCAACTTTCCATCTTTAATTCTTTTTAGCTCCAAACTTCTTTATTTTTCCATCAATTTAATCCTGCAAATAAAATATACTATTTAACACATTTCATAAAATCCATGCTAAAAAAGGATAAATATAAATAATAAATATGAGGTAAATAATGATTAAAAATATGTATTTTGACCTCACATCAGATCCCTCAAAGTCCGGGGCACATACTTTTCTAGAAAAAGAGCATGGAACTGTGTCCAAGTGAGTGGGGGTAAAACTGATGATCTGCAATCCACATAGGCCCTCCACCACAACTTAACCTCACCCTGAAGCTGGAAAGTCACGAATTCCACCCCATGCTGGTGTACAATACCTAACTTATGCAGATTCTCAGAACAATCCAAAATAAACTAATAGGCGTCCTTACTCTCAGAACCATGGAACATAGGCGACTTTAGCTTCAGAAACTTAGTCAACATTTCATGCTCATTACCAGTCATCACAAAACCCAATAGGGGACGGAAAAAGGCATCAGTGCCTACAACTTCCCCCTCCTTGGGAACAATAGCAACAATGGAGGGGGGGGGGGTAACGGGAGTTTGAGTTGCTTGCGCTGCGGGAAGAACTGCAGGACCAACCAATACCTTCATTAAAGTCATAATTTGTTGAGCTAACACTGGGTCTAAGGGAGGAATACCTGTAGCCTCTGCCTGTGCATCCCCTTCTGGTCCAACCTCCTCCTCATTCTCGATTTCCAAATTCTCTTCTACCTCTTCATGATGCGCAGGAGCGGCCTCTTCTCTAGGAACATTCTCAACTGGGGTTCCACTCCTGGTAGGTGCTACCCTTCCTCGGCCTCTACCCTTACCTCATCCTCTACCCCTGCCTCGACAACGGCGTCTTGCTGCAGATTTCTTAGCTTGCTCATTGACGGGAGCTACGAGCCTGACGCCGTTGAAACGTGTGTTAACCATCTGCGAACAGAAGAAGAAAGAAAATTATATACCAATTTGGATCACCAGATACCAATTAGAATCAAGTCATAGCACGAAAAGAGTAGAAACAAAGATATTTCCTAAAGTCATGTAGCCTCTCGAAGAAAAGTACAGACGTCTCCATACCGTTACGCAAGACTCTACTAGACTCATTTTGGTATAACGAGATCAACGAACCTAGTGCTCTGATACCAACTTTGTCACGACCCAAACTGTCGTGATTGTAACTCATGCTAACTCTCCGATAGGAGAACCATTACTACAACCCATCTAACCAAATTAATGAAAATTAGGACATTTAAAGATACAAAAGCAGATTTAAATAACTAAAGAAATACGGAGTTCCCATAAACTCCGAAAGTTCAACAACGACTAACGAACTATTGCGGAAATTAACCCCTAGAACTGAAAGTCATTGTACCAAAACATCTAAATTAAACAGGTCTAAAAAAAGAGGGTATAACCCCAACCAACATAAGAAATAGCTTAACAACGGTCTGAGTCCGAAGAGAATAGACTAAACAAAATGAGGGACTCCATGGCAGCTTGAAAAAACTGGCTCACTTTTGAGTGATCTCCTAGCTGAGGTCTATCAGTAGCCGCCTGAAGATGTCCTGTACTCAACAAAGAACGAGAAAGTGCAGTATTAGTACACAACCACAGTGTACTGGTATGATCATACGACTATTCCAGTAAACGAACATATACAAGGAATCACCACACAGTAAGCACACATATACACAATATATAATCAGTTATCATTTCAGGAGCAATGTATAATTCCACATTCTCAATAACAAATAGATATGACAATACAATGGTCCTCTCATGGAACCCATACCCAAACTGTTAGTGTGTCGAAACGTGACACCCGATCCAGTTAGTGTGTCGGAATGTGACACCCGATTCAATGTATGTGTCGAAACGTGACACTCGATCCAATATATGTGTCGGAACGTGACACTCGATCCAATGTATGTGTCAGAACGTGACACTCGATCCAATGTATGTGACAGAATGTGACACCCGGTTCAATCAACACAACCACAATCACATTCACACTCATAATGTACATACTTATAAACATACAATCAAGTGTTGATTCATGGCATACAATTGTTCGTTCATACTCATTTCATCAGGTTTGATCAATAGTGCCTCATTCACATACATGCATGCATTACAATGAAGCAATTACCAACATATTTTACACAAAAATGAAATCAAACCATCACCTACCTTGAAACCAAGCTTGAATCCCCCTAAGGCACTTGAATCTTCCCTTTCCGGATTCTTTCCGCTTGTTCTTGGTCTAAAAACATACAAATAATGTAAGGATCAATAAATGAGACCTAATTACCCGGATTACAATCGACATTATCAACCCTAGGCCAAATCCCAGATCCCAATACCCAACTTAAGGCTTTTTCCACCATTAATTACAGGTCAAAACCCTCACCCAATGATAATTACCCAAGAATCTAAGTTCTACGGATAAAAAAATGGATTAGGGGAGTAAAATCCTTACCTTTAGCACTAGAAGAGGTGGAAAACTATCAAGAACTTTCCCTGGATCATTTCTTAGCTCTCAAGAACGAAAGTTGCAGAATAATAACGTTTTTGGGGTTTAATCCCGACTTAACTCGCAACTAGACCGCTACGGCGGACCCCATACCACCACAGCGGCCCCTCCCTGGTGGCTTGCGTGGAGACACAACATCATAATTAGAGTTTCAAACCCTCATTTCACAACACACCTTCAACCCTTATCATTCAAAAACTACTCGTTCACGCTAAGAGCAGTTGTGGGAATTCTACTCGCCGAATTCGATTTCGTAAAGCCGTACGGGCTCCCTAACATCTTGGCTATCCACTATTGGAATCAAATTCATTATAAAATCTCTCATTCATTACGTATTTCCCTGGACCTCACATGACTCAAATTTCATTCAAATCTGGACTAGGCTAGGAATTTTCAAGTCACTACTCAAAAATTTTCTGCCCCCAATTCTTACCCCAAAGGATTTTCCCGAACGATGGAAACATGTTGTTACATCGAGAATGCACAAAATTTTGTGTCACCAATGCAAAAAAATCTAATACAAAGTATAATTGTTCAACAAAACTAGTTAGATATCTAATAGACTATTAAATAAGATATCCATCCTTCACTTATTATACCTACTAAAGTTATTGGTATTAAGGACAACCTATCATATAAGGAGGTACCCGTTGAAATACTTGATTGTCAAGTTCGCAAGTTGAGAACCAAGGAGGTAACGTCAGTCAAGGTCTTATGGAAGAATCAGTTTGTTGAGGAAGCTACTTAGGAAACTGAGGAAGATATGAAGAAGAGATACCCACATATCTTTGAGTTTGGAGAGTCTGTTCTTGGTACTTTTTAAATTGAAATGTTGTGTTAATTTGCATATTGGGTGTTTGAGCTGGGTGTTATATGTTGCCACCCTTAGTCTACTAAGAATAATCTCATTCGAGGAAAAATGTTCCCAAGGGGGATATATTGGAAAGAGCTAATTTGAGATTTGTTCAAGTTAAGCTTAAGTTGTGAGGTTTGGGTCAACTTCAGATGACCATAACATTCAGTACCGGGTGAGTTAGGTGGCCCATAAGATATGAAATTAAAGGTCTTTGAATCCTCTATCCAACGCCACTGAATTTGCTAAATTTTGAGTTCGGATGTGGGAGATATGCCTGTTTGAAGTCAGCCTATCCAACTAAGGAAATTTACCCGAATTAATGAGGGGTATTTCAGTCTTTTCCTTGCCCAATCAGTTTTAAACATTTTAAGTAATATTTTTGGGGTCTAAACTAATTTGGGTCAGTTTTTACAACTCTAAATTACGCTTAGGGTTTTGAGAGGAGTTCAAGAGGAGAGGTTCAAGGCGTTCGTCAAGATTCATGATATCTGTCGAGGAATTTCACCAAATTAAGGTATGTAAGCTTTCACAGTGTTGGGTTTGTTTACCCACACGTTAATCATGTAAATTACAGCTGTAATTTCGTTCTTGAGGTTGCATGATTTGAATTCTTGATGGTTGTTCTTGAGGTTTTGTTCGTCATGCTTTGCTTATCGAGTTTGATGAATTCTTGAGGTGAGGATTTCAATCTTTGAGGGTTGTTCTTGAGGTAAAGTGAATAGATTCTCGTGTACTTGTATTGGCTAAATGAATCTAAGGAAAATTTGAGGAAAACAATAGATTCTAGTCGAATTAGAGTCAGAAAACGAGAAGAAAAATTCATCGGATTGATCTAGGGAAAGGTTGGCGCAGCGCCGCAGATGTGCGAGAAGGTCTGGCGTGGCACGCCAACAGTGCGCCAAGATTGAGTCTCTAAAGTTCAGGGTCGCCTGCCCCCACCCTTTTTCATCGTTTACTCTGTCTAAATTCTTTTAAGGTGTACCTTTACTCCTTTCTGATTCTAACTACTCTAAACTACATCTAAACATTGAGAGATCCTTCATAACATCAATCATAACCCATGAATTCATAATTCAAATTCAAGGTAGAGTTAAGAATAAAGTCTTGCAAGTTCTTTCGAGTCAGTTTGAGAAGTCTTTCACAATCTTTTAAAACTTGTTTTAAGACTTGAGTTTTAGGATGAGGAGAGTTGAGTTTCATTTTTCAAAATGAATATATGGGAACTAAGTATTCCCAAGAGTAAATGTTTTTACGTTTAATATGAGAGGAAACATCTATTTCCAAATGAGTTCATGAGGAGTTTTTGAGTATAATCTCTTTTAAGAGAACCTTTTGAGTAATAATCCCAAAACTTGAGGATGAGGAAATATTTTTAAACATATGACCTGAGTATATTATTGGGAGTAGTATTGAACACCGATATGGGGACGAGTTCATACAACTCAAAGTCCTCATAAACCATGTAGCCAACGTGGTAGAAAGGGTTATAATTTTTAGATGATTCCTTATTGTTTTTAAGCATAGCTTAGTAGTTCAGCTTAGTTGATGATGTCTTATACTCTAGCAAGGTATAGGGCAATTCTGGTAGCGTGGGCGAGAAACTGTATCATCACATAGCTCATAGTGATGGTTGTCGGTTAGAGAATCTCCCAATTTGAGTTATTTTGTATCTTTACATACAAATAAGAGTCATTATTGTATTTTTAAATACATTGAGTTGTTAACTACTATTTTAAATGCTTTATATAAACTATATCTTTATTGTTGTTTTTATACTGTATTGAGTTGAGTATCTATAAGTTAAGGTTGAGTTGAGGCGAGTATGTTTCCTTCTTTCCAAGTTCAAGCTTTTATGTTATGTTCAGTATTCCCCTTACATGCTTATACATTCAATGTATTGATGCCATTTTTCCTGCACCGTTTTATGATGCAGATATAAGAGATCAAGATCATCAACAGGAGCGCCTTGATACCATAGCAGTTGGAGTTAACTTTGGTGAGCTTCCTTGCTTCCGGAGGATCCCCTATTTATTTCTATTATTTCAGTTTTGTTAGGATGATCGGGGGACTTGTTCCCGACATCTCCCATAGTATAGAGACTTCATAGATAGGCAGTAGTAGTTCTGGAGTCTTTTTCATTTCCATTGTTATTGTTTGAGACTCGAGTTGGCTTCGTTTAGCCAATTGAATGTTCTTATATATTTTTGAGTTTATTATTTTGAGACATTGAGTTAAAACCTTACTTTTAAAGTTCTTTTTTTGTTGAGTAAGTCTTCCGCTGAGAATTGAGCCAGGTCAAGGGTTCGCTTGGGGCTTGCAATGGTTCTCGAGTGTCGGCAACTTTCAGGGTGTAGGCTCGGGGAATGACAATAATTCTCAAAGCATCAAAATGTTCACAAGAACTTTTGGATTTTCTTCAATATTCAACATTTCAATTTGTCTTTTCATAGACTTAACTGCCCAATTGGGGCTCTCAAATCAAACACAAAAGAAGGAAAATCAATTGGACTAAGGGTGTGTTTGGTATGAAGGAAAATGTTTTCCATGGAAGATGTTTTCCTGGAAAACAAGCAGATTTTTGACTTATTTTCTCATGTTTGGTTGGTGAGTAGAAAATATTTTCTGGAAAAGATTTTTAGTGTTTGATTTATGAATGAAAAATATTTTTGAGAAATATCTTTTATTTTTACTAGAGTAGAAAATAATTTTTGAAATTGAAAATATTTTTTAAAAACAAACTTAAATTATTATTTTTGGGTGGGGGCTGGTAAGG